AACCGGGAGTGATCTCCCCTAAACTTTCTCGAATATTCTAGTATAAAATTACGAGGGATGGCAACTCAGGACATAGATCCATTTTAAATTACTTAAACTTTTTATAATAGAATAGAATCTCGTAAAAAAAAAGAATTGCACACCAAGTGAAAAGTTTCCCTTTCAAACCTGAAGGTCTATGGGGCAAGTGAAGTAGACTTTACTTGTTTCTTTGACCTCGGCATATGAAGAGATATTGTGGTCTGCACTATGCCCAGCCGCCTTTACTTTCCCTAACTGACTTGAACTCGGATTCGAACTCGGGACTAACGGGTTAGCCGACCAGCTCTCTACCGCTAGATCACTCCGTCCCACACCAATTGAACGCCTAATGTGTATAAAAGTGCGGGATATTATTAGTACTTTATAAATTTACATGCGTTTTTTGAGAAATCGGAAATAGCGTAAATTAGTACCTCCGTTCAACGGAAATAACTCAAAATTTGATAGAAGGTAGAGAATCAGATCTTTTACTTACATGTGAAATTTCATGCATCTATCTAAAATAGTACGCAACTTATAGGCTTTTGAAAAATTCAAAGTAGAAAAAGTACCACTTCCGGTTATCGGAAATAGCTCAAAAGTTGATCAGGATCTACAATTTTGATAAAATACTTATATATGAAATTTCATCAACCTAGCTGTAACGGTACTCAAGTTATCGTATTTACACACAGACGACACACAGACATACGGACAGAATTGCAAAGTCCAGTTTTTACGACTCGATAACGCATAAAACGCCAAAACGTTTATATATTTGTATTTATAATTTTTGCCTGATTAAAATAAGTCCTCTATACTCCGGATGTGATGAAGGACTGAGGAGTAAAACGGTGAAAACTGTCAAAATTTCATGTTATTTTTGTGCACGATTACAATACTTTCTCTATACTTCGTATATACGAGAAAGTAAAAAAGTATCTAAATCAGGTTGTAGGGGCTAGCTACTGCCTGTATTGATATCGTAACACTGGCCTTAACCTTACCAGCTATAGGGCTGTGAACTAGCGCCTTAACTGAGTTTACTTGAGCAGCGTTAGATAATCTTAAGCAGGGGTAGTGTTTACACAGGTAACTTAAGAATGTTTTTGATACCACCAGACTCCAATCAAAGTTACCCGTACCCCACCCTCTCGCCCCACTTTAACACGGTACGTTAATTAAAATCAGTTCACCAGGAAAATTTTGAAAACGAGGTCCAACACTTCTGGGACTGAAAAAACGATGTAAGGCTATGACCAATCATTGAAATTTCAAGGGTGCTTTTGAGTAATTAACCCGACACAATTAGTTTCCGTTATTTAGTCATTACCTGTCGTTGTTGAAGGCGTTTTACCCTGAGCCAGTCTCTTCAAAGTCATCCCGCCGCCATTGTTTGTGTCGGCTGCTAGTTTTTGGGTGGAGGTACAAGCACAGCGCTAACATCCGGGTATTGTTTCCGAGGGGTTGTTCTGTAAACAATAGATCACACAATCCCAGCGGACCGGTGTGGTCAATGGCCGTGGGGACGCCGCCTGAGGGTGACCTGGGGTGTTGAAGTGCCGAATAGGTTTTATTGCCAGGCTGGCTTGTACAAATGTATGTACCGCGTTTGGCTTTCATTCGGGGAATTTACCTGACCTTTAACCTGCTGGATAAAAGGGGTGTGGCTAGCGTTAGGGTGATCCATTAGATCCCCCACCCCACACACCACCATCACCACACGCGACCACGTGACACCATGAATACATAAAAAAAACGTGTATAATTACTGGTCGCGTGGTGAGACGGGTGGGCGTGCTGTTTGAAAGTTTTGATATCAGTTCTGGGCTCGAGTTTGTAGGACTGAGCAAGCCCAGCTCAATTGGGTACACGACATAAGTTGGATTGTACTAATCCTTAACTAAATTAAATGCCATGGTAATAAAAACTAAAGCTTAATTGACAGCGTTGCCAGCTCCGAAGATTGTATTTAACATTTGCATAATATATTTTTATAAAAAGCCTAGAACTATCGCTGCCTTTAAAAAAAAAACTTGCTGCTTTAAATATACGCATTTCATAACACGGGTCAATTAGAGTTAAAACATCAACAACGGTAAGTACAATACCAATATGTCATTGAGTACAACTTCAATGTGTCATTGGGTACAACATCCATGTGTCATGGAGTACAACTTCAATGTGTCATTGAGTACAACATCAATGTGTCATTGAGTAAAACATTAATGTATCATTAAGTACAATATCGATGTGTCACTAGGTACAAAAATGTGTCATTGAGTACATCCATGTGTCATTGAGTACACTATCAATGTGTCATTGAGTACAACATCAATGTGTTATTGAGTACACATCATTGTGTCTTTGAGTACAACATCAATGTGTCATTGAGAACTATATCAATGTGTCATTGAGTACATCCATGTGTCAGTGGGTACAACATCAATGTGTCATTGAGTACAACATCAGTGTGTCATTGAGTACAACATCAATGTGTCATTGAGTACAACATCAATGTGTCATTGAGTGCATCCATGTGTCAGTGGGTACAACATCAGTGTGTGACTAGGTACAACATCAATGTGTCATTAAGTACAACATCAATGTGTCATTGAGTACATCCATGTGTCATTGTGTACAATATCAATCTGTCATTGAGTACAACATCAATGTGTCACTAGGTACAATATCAATGTGTCATTGAGTACAACATCCATGTGTCATTGAGTACAATATCAATGTGTCATTGTGTACAATATCAATCTGTCATTGAGTACAACATCAATGTGTCACTAGGTACAATATCAATGTGTCATTGAGTACAACATCCATGTGTCATTGAGTACAATATCAATGTGTCATTGTGTACAATATCAATCTGTCATTGAGTACAACATCAATGTGTCACTAGGTACAATATCAATGTGTCATTGAGTACAACATCCATGTGTCATTGAGTACAATATCAATGTGTCATTGTGTACAATATCAATCTGTCATTGAGTACAACATCAATGTGTCACTAGGTACAACATCAATGTGTCATTGAGTACATCCATGTGTCATTGGGTACAACATCAGTGTGTCATTGAGTACAACATCAATGTGTCACTAGGTACAATATCAATGTGTCATTGAGTACAACATCAATGTGTCATTGAGTACATCCATGTGTCATTGGGTACAACATCAATGTGTCATTGAGTACAACATCAATGTGTCATTGAGTACAACATCAATGTGTTATTGAGTACACATCAATGTGTCATTTAGTACACTATCAATGTGTCATTGAGTACGTACAATATCAATGTGTCATTGAGTACATACAATATCAATTTGTCATTGAGTACAATAACAATCTATCATTGAGTACATCCAATGTGTCATTGGGTACACTATCAATGTGTCATTGAGTACACTATCAATGTGTCATTGAGTACTACATCAATGTGTTAACCTCACCTAAAAAGGAAACATGGCACAAGTATTCAGATGTAGAACTACTGGCATTAGCTTAAGCCTTAATAAGCGAATGAAGGCAACATAAGGTACTATTCTCTTAATAGACATTCCCAGAATTGCGTGATGTTTTTGTGGTTGTAGTTTTGTCGTGTACTTTGATGTGTAACGGCAACTGGATTGAGAAAAGGATAAAACGTGCAAAAGAATCCTGGGCGTTAAAGGGGGTTGATTTTGAAAAACAAAAGAGAGTGGGGGTGTTATAGTCAATAATGGCGTCGAGGAGTGAGCATTATTAAACTGCTTAATTTTAAATATTTCTATTTTCAGAACAAGGTGCGGTGCTGTCGAGTAATGGCGCCAGGTCTCAAGTTTGGATCTTGGACAAGACTCGTGACTGTACAACGTTACTGAGTCTATCCAGCTCTGATGGGTACCTGACTCACGGTAGGGATAGTAAGGGCTGGTCATAGAGCTGACCATACCATCCCTTCATGTGAACTCTACTCCAACCGCCCGTTTTGTTTGAAAGGGAGGCTTTACTACTTTACTTGTTCATAGAACAGGCTTACTTCTATTCTTCAGAAAATACATTTTCTCTATACAGGACCCGTGTATTAACAACTGGCCTTTTCTATTGTCAGGTTTGTAAAAAAAAATTAATCACTTTCTTCAGCCATTTGATCAAAGTATATTAAGATTTTTTTATCACTTTCTTCAGCCATTTGATCAAAGTATATTTCTACGTGAATTTTTTTTGTTTCTCTATATGCAATATAAAATGTACCATAAACCCTTGTACTTATAAATATAATTTCATTTAGTTTTACTCCTTAATGAACACCAAGCAGTCTTTTGGGGAGCAATCCTTGGGAAACTCCACATTTTTTTTTTTGTATTTTGAACAAGTTTCTAAAGTAGATTTGGTGTGTGAACCTCAGAATCCAAATCGACCTTGTGATATCCATGTTCTAGGAATTTCTAGTCAGTCTTATAGACTTTTACAGACTGTAAGACTTCATAGTCTTACAGTCTTTTAGAGACTCAAGACCACCATCTTCTTTTTTCCTAATTCTAGTGTTGGAAGGGATAAGTATTGCATGTCAACTTGTTATGCACCATATAGGCCATTGACTCTGATTTCAACTTGCTTTTCTTTTTGGATTTGCTTCCATAGCTTATGACCAAACAAAAACTATAAAGCAGCAGTTGTTTGATTTTGGAGTTGTCTCTCCTAGATGGGTAGCTATCCCCAGCTTTCATCACTCTTCTGCCCGGGGTTCAAACTCAGAGCTTTCCGGTTTAGCAACCATTCATTTTACCGCCTCGACTACGCTGACACCTAAGACAACCACCAATCAGCAAGTGTACAAGTCACTGTCACACTCAGTGACAACAATTGATTCTTGCTATTTGTTTTGAAAAAAAATATTTTTATACCAGGGTGTTGTCTTAATAAAGAAAAACAAAGGTTCTAACATTAATTATCATTACTTTTAAAGAACAAATGTAAATCAAATTGTATTTTTATTCTCAACATAATAAATGTATCTAAAAAATTATCAAATACTAGCCACTAGATGTTACATACAATAGGCTTTATTGTTTAACAAAATTATGTCTAAATATCTTGCCCAGAAATCCTTACAAACATTAAAAGCCAAACAAGTAACATATTACTTAAAATTAAGAGCAAAATTCACAAACAATAAAACTTAGTATTTGACCAAAAAACTCATTTATTAAAAACAACTATTATTTAAGATAATTTCATATTTTGCCAACAAATATATTCTGAACACAGATTTTTTTCTGGCAACTAAAAACAAATGTAACCCATCATGATCAACACCAAACATGACTTTCCTTGTGATAAGAGTGACACCATGCAAGGTATCACACACCATTGACACCACTAATGTGATATCTCATATAAAATCATTGACAGAAGGTAAACTAATTTTCAGAGATCCATCTCTATAATTAACTAATTAAAATAAAAACAATAAAAAACCAGTGATGAAGATTTCACCATCTTTGTGTACAGGTATCAGAAATAACAGTGAGATGATGTCCATCTTTCCACAAACACCACTAAAAACAACATGTCTAATGAAATCAACCCATCCCATCATAACTGACCTCATAGCTACACTTCAGATCATGCACACATACACACACCACACACACATAATTTAACACTAATGTCAAGATGGACCTCCAGATGAGGACTTTCTTGCTTTTTCTGACTGTGTTGTCTTTAAATTCTGTATTTCCATATCTATTCTTTCTTTGGCCCGAAAAACCTATTTCAACAGGAAATGAAAAGTGAAATAAACAGTTAAAAAAAAAACATTGATAATAAAGGAAAAAATCCCCTTCCTACATAAAAACAGAGAAGTTCGTAACAGGAATTTATGAACAGTTAAAAATCAACACATGCACGGTCGTTAGAACCTAGTTATATAAGAAGCACTATAAAAGAACACTGACCTTGGATTGTAAATACAATGATCCTCCCTTAGACTTATCATTAACGTCAAACAGATGCTGGTAATTTTTAAGCAATGCTTCTGTGTCGTTTATGTCTGCTACGTTCAATACCTGTTTAGCTTCCTGTTGGAATAAATCAAACTTAATCTACTGATAGAGAAACCTGGCTTCCATCCTTACTAATGATGATAATCTTCTCATAAATATTTTGACATAGAGTCTCACCCTTTTCTAATTAAAACTGAAAGGTCAAACAATAGAGGAATTTAAAATTTACAAAGCCAGTGAGCCAAAAAAAAGTTTGAAAAGACAAAAAAAAATCGTCTGATCATGTGATATATTTTAAAAAGTGTGAAAAAGGCAAGTACCTGCAAAGTCATCCCTGAAACTGTATCTGCTGCAGCTTTCCTCGCACCATGCCGACCGCCGCCTGCATTTTTGGCAGCTTGCTGGCTGGCTGCATACTCCTGTTTTACAGCTCTAGCAAAAGCTCTGCCCACAACTTGTGTGCCCGCTAGGATTATCTGAGCAAGATATTTAGCCTGAAAACAAAATTCAAGATGCTTTACATCCTTTCATTTTTTTATACTTTTGCGAATTTTATTAAATTTACTGTTAGTATGTTAACATTAGCAGTACCAGTCATTTTAATATGGACAGAGAGATGAAACAAAACTGTCACAATGATTTTTGGTTTAGCTAACGTATTAATAAGGTAATTTTGGGTAAGGTACAGGTAATAATTGCAACATCAGGTTCAATGGACTTAAATTATGTTTACAACAGTGCAGCTACTTAACAATGCACAAATTTAAAATGAAAATACTAAAAAGTCTAAATCAAAGTTCATTGTAAATCTTTGAAATTGCGGTACTGTAAAATTTTAGAAAAACATCATCGCATTTTTGTAAATTTTACCCCCACACAGCCTACACATAGAGTAAGGTCAAATGCCTTGTGACTGGTGGTTTTCACAACCTTCTTGCATTTTACCACTTTTTACCCATACACACAAAATTGAAGTCGTTTTGGTAAAACCTTAGTTTAGCGTCGGTTATTATTCCGGAATCGTATAGCAGTAAAAAACAGTAAACCAAAAGCAAAGTCTGTCACACACTTCCAGAATTCACCGGAAGTACTGTAAACCGTACTTTTTTTGGCGTCATCTATTATTTTTATACAGAATGTTTACAATTTGGATAGATTTATTTTTTTAATCATTTTTACATTTTGTAATCATTTTTACATTTTGTAATCATTGTTACTATTTTCGTAATCTAGATTTTTTTACTTGGCCTAGCATCTGGATATCTAGCTAGATCTAGATCTAATTAATTAATGGTCGCAAATCCGCTGCAAGCCAAAAACATTAAATTATTACATTTGACTTCATTATTTATATTTATATTAATATATGTTGTTGTTTTTTATTTTTAGATGTACTAATTTAAATCTACTATTATATTTATTCTTGTTTCCTTTTGTCGATTAAACTTAAAAAATTAAAACAGTAATTTACTACAATCGACTTTCAATCTATTTATATTTCAATGGTCAAATAAACCATGGTTTACCGTAACTCTAGTTACCGAAACTCAACAAACATTACCCGATAATTTCCGACGCTAAACTAAGGTTTTACCGTCATTTTAACGCCTTATGCTATAGGCCTAGGTCTATTTTATATCTAGATCTAGGCCTTATTATATTATAATTAGTTAGTAAGGCTTACTTACTAGAGGAAGAGACATTTGTTTTGTGATCCGTACTTTAAGTAATGAGAAAGATGTAGGCCTACTTCCTAAATTTAACTTATGTCCCCGCAATCTAGTAACTAGTTATTCTAATTTTATATCTACTAGCAGTAGGTTGAATGGACCTAATGATCAGACTTTAGTGTAAAATTGTCTCTATAAACACTATTAAAACTTAAGATAATAGGCCTAATATGTATAGGCTTAATAATAGTAATAATACAGCGATTTTTTGGACACTTCAATTACTTCAAATTTAAAATTGTAAAGTCTAATTATTTCACCTAGATCTAGGCCTAGGCTACTAACTTAAAAAAACGAACTTCAGACTCTAAGTCTAGCGCCAGTTGCGAGTTAGACTCTAACTCAAACTAGATCTATTAACCAAAGTTTTACTAAAAAACAAAAGAATCTTCATTCTTCTGAAAGACTACACATTTACACATTCATTACATGATAATACTATACATATTCATATTACTATGATATTACATATGACAACCGTGACACACATCTTTTATGACTTAGACTTTAGATCTCGAATCTAGCTTACAAAGTGAAAGTAGGCCTAAACTCCTAAACCTTTAAGACTTTAAGTCAGTTTAAGAATAAGAATTTACTAGGCCTACACTTTAATTTAGTTATTTTAGATCTAAAAGCTAGAATAGCGAGTACTGAGTCTTTTTGACTTAAGTATAAGTAAGACTTGACTGCCTTTCTCTCACTTGACTCAGAGTAACTAGTAACTTGGTTAACACTAAGCTTAAGTTTATAAGTTACGACCAGTTGCAAGTTACGGTATAACTAACTTCAACTAGATCTAGACTAGAATCTAATGAATAGACAAACATGCATATAGATCTAGGTCTAGCTAGGTTAACGAGGTCTGTGTGATAGTTAAAAAGAATGATGGTCTTATAACTGACTATCCTAAATCAGTAATAATGGAGCAATATTGACAAACCATTTCGTCATTTATTTGTCTTCTTTTGATGACCGACCTCAATGATGGGCCTTTACAAGCAATGCCCGTTTAGCGTTTACATTTAATATTTAACGAAACAAAGAAAGTTAAAATAAAACTACCAAGTGAAAACAAGCCGTTTCAGACCTAGACCTAGATCTAAAATCTAAATATTTCTATATGTAAATACAAAAATTATTGACAAACCATTTATTTTCAACAAATTATTTTACAATCTGGTTGTAGAATCTAGTAAATTCTAGTAAGTTAACATGCATTGTACTCTAAGCATAGCAGTAACATTTCTAGACATTTCGTTTTCTGTTCTTTTATGAGCTATATTTTGTAAAATCTAGTGAAAGGTCAATAGTAAGGTTACTGCATGTGACCTATTTTTGTCATGTGACAGTTTGTTGTGTGTGATCATGTACTTGTGTGTATGTGCGAATATCACATGCGAAGTCAAAGGGTTTCAACCCGCGTTTGTTTTTAAATGAAAACTAGCTAATTACTGTGCGGAACTATTAATTAGATCTAAATGTAAATAGATCTAGATCATTAATCTCAGGTGCGTTTAAAGTTTAAATATTTTTCGGACAGCTTAATAATAATTGTGCATAATTATAATCATTGACTTGGTTTTATACTGCGGGGTGAAGTTTCATTTTGTTAAATTTTGTCCAAGTAGCAAGCTGATCGGCACATGTTTGAAGTTTGTAACTCAAGTAACTGAGTGACAGAATGTTTTGAACAACAACTTTAGAAAATGTATAGATTATAGATTAAAGATCTAATTATTTTTCATATTTACTTTTATTTAGGCAACCAAGCTTACACATCCCAACATTCCTAGATCTACAACATTAAAGAGCTGAGTCATCAGATTGTGATATTGGCATAGGCCATAGGCCCTATAGGCTATAGTCTTTATAACTTGGTAAACCCACCAACTATCATGGATAGTTTTTACTTTTAGGTCAGGATATATTATTTAGATCTATATTATAAGCCTAGGACATGAGAGTACAAGAACTACAAGACACAAGCAAATTAAATTTGTTTTACTAATTGTAATAAAGTTATAGATCTAGATTCTAGATCTAATCTAGAATATAGATCTAGATATTACTAGATCTAGATCTAATCTAGATCTAGAATTATTACAACTCAGCTGAAACGTCTTCATCTTCCATCCACCTCATTACGCATTACTATGGACATTACAAACATTGAACAGGTTAACAGTTACAAATGCCTAGGATTGGTTATAGATCTAGATCACAACCTCACTTGGTCCGATCATATTCATCTTCTAAGAATGTCCTTATTAAAGACAACTTTTCAACTAACAAGGATAAAGAACTTTTCTATAGGAGCAGGCTAGTTTTTTATGAAGCTTTTATTCAATCTAGGTTGGATTATGCTTCTGTAGTGTGGAGCGGCAGCTTTATAACTAAGCAGCGTCCTCTTCTATCATTACAAAAAAGGGCTATAAAACTGGTTACTGGCTTGTCTAATAGTCTGGATTCTTTTATTACAACTAAAATACTTCCATTAAATAAAAAGATAATATATACTAAATCAATTTTTTTATATAAAATATTCCATGAAACAGCCCCCTCTTACTTATCAGACCTATTTTCTTTTAACATAAAGTTAAATCGTCATCTTAATTTACTGTTCCCATATACAACTTTTTTCCAAAAACATAGCTTTGCCTACTCTGGTTCTAATTTGTGGAACAATCTTCCTAATAAAATAAAGCTATCTACATCTGAAAATATACTCAAATCTAAACTAAAACAACAATTATTTAATGACCTCTCTAACTGACTCATTGAAACATTTCTCATTCATCTATTATATTCTTTTTTTTATCTCATTTTGTATTATAACAATGTAACAATATTTCTTTATTCCACATTTTAGTGCTATGTTACTGCTATGTGTTTTTTTTTAATGCTGTTATTGAATTGTTGTTTTATTTGTTTAAACGGCCAATGTGAAAAAAGGCCTTTGTGCCTACAATTGTTACCGTTTTTTGAATAAATTTGAAAAAAAAAATACATTCTTATACTTATAAAGATGCCTGAGATTTTATAAATATATAATAAAAGGTAAAATTTTATGTGTTTACTTCTCCCATACTATTTAATGAAAAATATTATTTCTTAGTACACAGAGTATTTATCTGTGTTAATGCCATACATTTTTATCAGTTAAGGTCACATGGTTAGGTGTGAAAACAGATTAGCCAAGCTTATTACATCAGGATATATTTATTCTGCCTTATCTTTGTCAGCATGACACATATTTATATGGTATCAGTTTCATTGTATAACCTATGATAACTAATATAGGTAGCAATTTCAAACATGTAAAACAATTAACAGTTCATTTGAGTGGATTCTATTTTTCTGAATATTGTTCTCTCTTTTTGTGTTTTAGCTTTGCTATGATGGAAGAAGGAAGCTTTGATTACAATTCAACTGACCCACCTTTTAAAGGTAGTGGAGCAGCGCAAACTGTGAATCATGTTCATGTTGCGACCACAACATTCACACAAAGTGGGGGAACTGAAGGCAGGACAACAGCTGAAACAGCAACAATTTTGATTGAAGATCAGCCAGACGGCAGAAAGACTGAGAAAATTACATCTTCTATGCGATCTAGGAAAGACACATTGAAAAACTCAACTGATGCAGAGTTAGATTTTGAGAAAAGCTGCATTCTTCTCGCTGAAAACTCCATTGAAGCAAACAGGATATCTAACAATTATAAGGTAAAACACATGCTATTACTTGTGTCATAAAATGTACAGAAAAAGTTATTGTTTTGTAATATTTTATCCTTAGTAGGCCTACGTGGTATAGGAATAAAGTTTTTCAACCATGTAGCTTTCTTTTACAAAAAATATTATTAAATAAAATATTTTTTTTATCTATATAATTCTGTCTCCAAATGAACATAACCATATTAATGTTTTTTTTAAGAGTTTAAAATGTATAATAATATTAAAGGGCTGCCCTGAACTATGTTACATAGTATTGTTTACCTGTTAACATGGTTAACTTAATTAAAACATGTCATGAACACGAGGAAGGGATAATTAATTCAGAGACATGACTGCATTAAACAGCAAGAAAGAATACATTGTATTTTTAATTTAAAAAACACAGCAAAGGGCAATAACTCATTTTTCTTTAAAACTTTCAAAGTTAATACAATATGTTTAGACAATTTACTTTTATTTATTAACATATATACACACTGTCATAATTTAAAATTTAAAAAATGTTTTCTGCTGTTAAACCATTGTATTTCTCATCAATAATTTTAAAAAACTCATTTTTCTTTAAAACCTAAGTTAGTACAAAACGTTTAGACAATTTACTTTTGTTTATTAACATATATACGCACAGTCATAATTCAAAATTTAATACGTTTTCTTCTGTTAAATCTTTGTATTTCTCATCAATAATTAAAATCTACTTCTATTCCAATAATTTAGACTAAGATTGTTATTGGCTAATTAATTTTTTAGGCTCTTGTTTTTTTAGCATAATTAGTGTTACATTTCAAGAATTTAGCATTTTGAAAAGTTTTATATTTTGAAATTTTTAAAAATTTGTTTTATAACTTATTTTATAATTTATCAAATTTAAAATAACTGAATAAATTTTTTTTATCATACCAGTTTGGTTTTAAAAAATGGAAAGGGCATGTGACGTCTAGACCGCTGGACAAGAGATCTGATATTGTTCAAGATCTGTATTCTGACATCAGTCATCTGAAGGATGTTAAAGGTAGATTATGTCATCTGTCGCATATAGATCAGGCCAACCATTTTCATAATTTTTACTATTTTACTTATAAGCACAATATTATGTAATCATAGTTTAGGAATGAAAAAACATGAACAGTTCAGATAACTTTCATTGTAAGGGATACAACTCAGTATGCTCATCCCAAATTTTTCAATATTTTGTCTGTCATATTAAAATTATGAAATGTCCATGTTGGTCCCAAATATTTCATTATTTTGTGTATCATATTAAAATATTGAAATGTCCATGTTTAGTTCCAAATATTTCATTATTTTGTGTATCATATTAAAATATTGAAATGTCCATGTTAGTCCCAAATATTTCATTATGTCCCAACTTGTTCAGAAAACAACTTCTTTTATTCAACCAGCTTGTTGATTTTGTAACAATTTATTTTTTGTTCCACGTTAATATGTTGTCAGTATTTTCCTTGTTTATTTAATTTCCCTCCAGTTTCTACATGTCGACCTTTTAATATCCTCTATGTCATCTTATTTGGATGGTGGCTGGCGCTTATTTACATTGTAATTGGTGTCTTGATGGGGATGACGATTGTTGGATTTTCCTATAGTAAGTTATTTGTATGTTTTTTAAACAATATTTTTATTTATCTTGTAACTGATTTTAAAAAATACTTTCTTTATTAGTAATTATTATTGGTTGTTGAAAATTTTTTTATTTTAAAAGTTGTTTTTTATGTCAAAGAATACATTTTGATTTAAGAATGCTTCTTGTTTTTATTTTCTTTCAGCTAAGTTTTGCTGGCGGATGGCTGGTTATTTTTTATGGCCTTTTGGAAAATTCGTCTATCAGGTATTTAATAAATGCCTAAGCATTAAAGTAGTTTCTTCTTCTACACTCTAAATTTTTGGTATTAAAATATTACATTCTTTGAAAAGTTATATTTCTGTTTTTACTGTTAGGAGTTATAAATTTATCTGTGTCGTTTTTTTTCTCAGGTGCATTCTGTGAGAAAGTCGGATTCATTTAATCAGAAGGAAAATGGGAATGTTGTGGGGAGATCGAATGGGAAGATCTGGGGCGGTGACAGTGATGAACGCAAACATCTTGTGGATGGGCCTCAAAAGTATATGGGCAAAGGGAAGTGTTGCTGGGGATTCTGGGTAAATAAAACACATCTTTTATATGTTCATTTATTTCAATTGATTAGAACAGTAAAATACAATTTTTTGAAATGTAATGAAATTTGAAATTTTTTCCAGAGTCGAGCAGCCTCTTATGTTTGGCTTGTGTTGGGTATTCCCGTTTTGTTGATCATCCACACCCTTGTTGCTGGCATCTGTTGGTTTTTTGTTATATCAATCCCCACTGCAAAGGTCAGTTATATTCTTTTAATCTCAACAGTTATATTCTTTTAATCTATATTCTTACTGCAAAGGTCAGTTGTATTCTTTTAATCTCAACAGTTATATTCTTTTAATCCAAATCCCCACTGCAAAGGTCAGTTATATTCTTTTAATCTTAACAGTTATATTCTTTTAATCCAAATTCACACTGCAAAGGTCAGTTATATTCTTTTAATCCAAATCCCCACTGCAAAGGTCAGTTATATTCTTTTAATCCAAATTCACACTGCAAAAGTCAGTTATATTCTTTTAATCCGAATCCCTACTGTCCACATTGTGAATGTGTATTTTGTTCTATACAAATATATTCTTTAACTAATATCCTATCCACAATGTGAATGTGTATTGCTTTGTTTTCCAGTTGAACAGCAAAGCTGTAACAAGGATCTTGTACCTCCCACCAGATGAAGTCAAAACAGCTTCTTCTGGCACTACTAAGATTGTAAGCTGTTGTTATTTGTTTCATCGTAATTTTATTGTTTTTGTTTTAACCCATTTTAGTACTCATATCATTGCAATATCAGTATTTTGAATAAAAGATGACTGTAGTAACCTATTTAATTTTTCTCACAATTAAAATAAAACTAGAATTTTTCTTTACCATAGCTTAATAAAATGGTGCTAAAATTATTGTTATAAAAGAAGAAAAGGAGATGCTAAAATTATTGTTATAAAAGAAGAAAATGAGATGCTAAAATTATTGTTATAAAAGAAGAAAAGGAGATGCTAAAATTATTGTTATAAAAGAAGAAAAGGAGATGCTAAAATTATTGTTATAAAAGAAGAAAAGGAGATGCTAAAATTATTGTTATAAAAGAAGAAAAGGAGTAGCCTAAAATGCTGTGGGAGCTTCAGATTATTCTGAATTTATGATGACTAAATTTTGCAGCCCAGATAAGAGGTATAAGCCTTTACTACTTGTTCTAACCACAGGATAATCCAGGCCAGATTAGCGAGATTATCATGTACTCCCACCAGAGTGTTAACCTTTACTACTACAAATACACTGTCGATGGTGTGAACATCATACTAGTCAGTATCCTTTAGTGTTATTACACTATTTATTTTTATTGTGGACAGTATCCTTTAGAAGCCATTACACAATGTTTTTTTAATCATAGTTAATATCCTTTAAATGCATTCACACTAAGTGTTTTTCATAGTAAGTATCATCGAGAAGCCATCACACTGATTGCTTATTGATCATAGCACAGAATCACATTAGTTTTTTTTTCTTTTATTAACTTTATTTAGTAGGCCTACAGACCTAACTTTATACAATGGGCCATTGAAATTAAAACACTTCCAAGCCTACAGTGAACGTTTGTAGGTTACAAATTTTGTTTAATTCAGTTCTCTAGATTTACTGATATTTATGATTCTCTCAATAATCTTTGTAGGTTAAACATTTTCTTTAATTCAGATCTTTAGATTTACTGATATTTGTGATTCTCTCAATAATCCTTGTAGGTTACAAATTTTCTTTAATTCAGATCTTTAGATTTACTGATATTTGTGATTCTCTCAATAATCCTTGTAGGTTACAAATTTTCTTTAATTCAGATCTTTAGATTTACTGATATTTGTGATTCTCTCAATAATCCTTGTAGGGTAAACATTTTCTTTAATTCAGATCTTTAGATTTACTGATATTTGTGATTTTCTCAATAATCCTTGTAGGTTCAACATTTTCTTTAATTCAGATCTTTAGATTTACTGATATTTGTGATTCTCTCAATAATCCTTGTAGGTTCAACATTTTCTTTAATTCAGATCTTTAGATTTACTGATATTTGTGATTCTATCAATAATCCTGGGGTATGCTGTGGACAACTCAATAATCAGCGGAGTCACTGTGAGTTGGTTTTCATTTCTGTTGTGCTATTTGTGTTTTAATAATGCAGATGTAGTAGAGTAAATCCATGATAATTGGTTGATAATTTTATTATGAGTCCTTGTACCTGTTGAGTGTATTTGATCATTGTTTAGGAAGTTTGCGGTGGATGGGAATAATAGCATTCCATCATGGGATATGGTAACATAATATCTTTGTAAGTTTTGGTCTCATAATCTACTTATATTTATGGTCACAGAAAATATACAAGTATCCTGAATAATTTGTTACTTAGCCTATAATTAGCCTATAATTATTGCAGTTTTGTGTGTACAAAACATTATGTGTATCAACTAAAACGGACTGGAATATATTAAATAAAAAATATTTTTTTGTTCTTAATAACCTTTGTTATCTGTAAACATTCATCTAGGGAAAAACTAACTGATATGATAAAGTATTTATAGCTCAAGTATTTACTGTCAGTACCATAGTTTTTGTCACATCTTTGACCCATATTTCCTGTATATGTAATAATTTCTTAGAATTTTAATTAATACATTTGAATTATTTCTGTACCAATGACATAGTTTATTATTTCAGTTAACATATTTATGAAGTATTTCTGTACTCTTGACTTAGTTAATGACTTCAGTATATCATATATTTTACCTAGGGACAGGACACATGTACAATACAGCATGTGATTCTGTCATGTGTTGTACCTGTAAAGTATCAAGTCTAATGTCTGCATGTCATCTATTGATGACTACATGATTCAGTTTTGTAGTTAAACACTGTTCAGCTGATCTATTATATAGGCCTATACACTCTGAATGGGACTCTCTTGTTGGGTGTAAAGTTCTTAGCTTGTGATACAAATATTTAGTATACTTCTTCATTAGGTTAAAAGAAATAGTTTAAAATAAAAAGATTAAAATCCAACATGACCCACTTATGATACGTTTACCTTCAAACTGTTTTTATGAAGAAGATATGTTTTATTGGTAAAATATGAAAAGCAAAACTATTTTTAGCTTTTACACAAAAATAATTCAAGTGTATGTTATCTTGTTCACTGTAGAAAATCTTCATTAGTAATTCTTTTTGGGACAGGCTTGAGGCTTAAATGTAGACACAACATAGATAGATGTCACCAAGTTGTGATATGGACCCATTCACAGTTATGTCATGAAATTATTATGTAAAGCTTATTAATCAAATGAAACAAAAACACCAAATGTAAAAATTAATTGAATAGTAACACCAAGAACACTTTGTTCATTCCTTAAAGATTGGGAAAAATCCCAGCCTTAATGTTAGCTTACCCTATGCTATACCATCAGTAATTAAACAATAATTTATATTTTTTTTACAACCAGGGTATATCTCTTAACCTGAGAAATTATGGTTGACATGATAGAAGTATGCAATAAAATATGAATTTAAGATTTTAATGTTACAATAACAATCCTATAACTTAACCGGTTTTAAAATATATATTTAAAAATGTATGCCTGCTTGTAATATTTTCAGAAATGCATTCTGGGTGTGCTAGCCATTATACCACTTACATACTATATTGGCATGGCCATAACAAGGTAAGTGTAATTTGGTTACCCTCTGTTTTGTTATATGTGGAATAGACAAGGTAAGTGTGATTTGGTTACCCTCTGTTTTGTTATATGTGGAATAGACAAATTAGAAGTAACATTACCCATAGAATGAAAATCTTATTTCCAGCATAAATATTTTAGTTGGTAAGTAGAACCATCCATTGCCATTCAATGATTAACAAACCAAGCTTTATCTGGCTCTTCTCATTGCCTTTGACATGAGTGTTCCTTCTAGAGTTGATCTCCAAGTCTACTTTAGTAGGAGCAATCCTTAATTCGCATTTTTTTCTTGTGTGACTAGTATTTCAGCATAAAGAAGCTTTTCTATAGCAGCAATCCTTAATCCACATTTTTCATGTGTGACTAGTATTTCAGCACAAAGCAGCTTTGCTGTTGGAGCTATCCTCAATGCAACTTTTGGCTCCATGGTAGAGGTGATTCTCTTTGTCATCATGCTCAACAAGGGGAGAGAATCTGGCCAAGAGTGTTATCAGGAGCTGGTTAAGTCTTCACTCACAGGTCAGCTTTATGGTCCACTTCACTGGACACATTTTTTTGGTAGCAATATAGAATTTTGCCATTGGATCTTAGTTTCTGTTTTACTGGTGGGATTCTTAACCCTTTGAAATCATCTTCCATTGTTAATCGTAAATGATAAACATAAAAAAAAACAAATTTGGTTCATGGACGCAGCCCTGACAGTAACTTATGAGCTGAACAATACCAGTTATGTAACTTTTAAATACAGCAATTTTATGTACAGACTGCTGATCTGGGGTAAGGTATCCAATACCACTATACCGCTTTATTGGTATCTCAGAACATGGAGATTGAAGACTAAGACTGATAAAGCGGTTCTGCGGGTTCAAAGGGTTAAAATATGATTTAAAATAGAATAATGTCTTTGGGGTTAGTAAACATGTCTTGCCATCCCATTGGGTTATTATACTTTTAAAAACCCTTTTTAAAATATTAATTTGTGTTTCTTTGCTGCTAGACGAGTGTGCCTTCTTGTATATGATGTCTTACTTACTGAGAAATTAGCGTTTTTTAGTATTCACCACACATCTTATTTATATACAGCCCCATTTCCATTGATCAAAGATTATTCAAGTCATTTTTTCTTTTTATTTTTCCTGCAGGAGCCATCCTCTGCAGCATTTTATTTATTCCTGTAAGTAACTTTAAAATAGCTAAAAAAAATTGTACCCACTGAATTTAATTGTTGACTGATCAAATTTTAAATGTTGTTCAAAATGTTTTTTTTTATAATCAGGGCATGTCCATGGTTATTGGAGGGTTAAAGTTTACAACCCAAAGGTTCAACCCCAAGTCTGCAAGCATTAGTGCGTCTCTGCTTTTTGTGGCCATTCTTGGTAAGTAACAAAACTCAAATCACCAACAAACATAATAGCAAAGTGTACCTTATTATTAGACTTTATACTGATTTTAATATCATTTTATTTTATATGGTGGATTTTCTATTCTTTTTATTAAAGTTTATTAACTAATTAAAATGCACAAAAGTTAAAAATTTGTTTTTTCTAGGTGTGTTCGTCCAACCATCTTCTCTATTAACGAATTAAAATGCACAAAAGTTAAAAATTTGTTTTTTCTAGGTGTGTTTGCTCCGACCATCTTCTCTATTGACTAATTAAAATGCACAAAATTTGAAAATTTGTTTTTGAAGGTGTGTTTGCTCCAACCATCTTCTCTATTAACTAATTAAAATGCTCACACATTAAAATTTGTTTTTGAAGGTGTGTTTGCTCCAACCATCTTCTCTATTAACTAATTAAAATGCTCACAAGTTAAAAATTTGTTTTTCAAGGTGTGTTTGCTCCAACCATCTTCTCCAAAGTGTTTGGCAGTCTCAGGTGTCTGGGCTGTGAGAAAATCTACGACCAGTTTATCATAGAACCCCCAGACAACACCATCCCGACTGCCATGAACGACTCGGCAGGTTTTCTATGCCAGCAGTGTGAGCAGTCCCTGGTATGTTGTAATGGACAGTTGTCTTGTTTTGTTAGCAGTCAGAGTTTGCCTTAGCTCATCATGGGGAATCACTTTTTAAATTTACACTTAAGTTATATTACCATTAATTATTTGTTGAAAACTGATTTTTTTTAAAAATAAAATTCTCTATAAGATACTTGTTACATCATTGTTAAAAATACTTCTTTAAAAATATGTTATTAAAAACTTAATAAAAACATGTTCAAATGTCTTTACTGTTGTAGAAAGGGTTACATGGAGACAGGACATTGTACACCAAACACATTGAACCTCTGGTCTATGCCATCTCAATCATCCTACCCTTGGCTTACGTCATTGGTCTGATGTTCACCATGAAGACACATTCACAGTTTGTGTTTGAGGAGTTTGAGAAGGAACTCAAGGAGGACATAGCTAGCAACAGTAAGTTCATAGAGATAGCAACAGTAAGTTCATAGAGATAGCAACAGTGAGTTCATAGAGATAGCAACAGTAAGTTCATAGAGATAGCAACAGTAAGTTCATAGAGATAGCAACAGTAAGTTCAAAGGGCTAACGACTAAGTTCATAGAGATAGCAACAGTAAGTTCATAGAGATAGCAACAGTAAGTTCATAGAGATAGCAACAGTAAGTTCAAAGGGCTAACGACTAAGTTTATAGAGATAGCAACAGTAAGTTCATAGAGATAGCAACAGTAAGTTCATAGAGATAGCAACAGTAAGTTCAAAGGGCTAACGACTAAGTTCATAGAGATAGCAACAGTAAGTTCATAGAGATAGCAACAGTAAGTTCATAGAGATAGCAACAGTAAGTTCATAGAGATAGCAACAGTAAGTTCATAGAGATAAAAACAGTAAGTTCATAGAGATAGCAACAGTAAGTTTAAAGGGTTAGTAACTAAGTTCATAGAGATAGCAACAGTAAGTTCATAGAGATAAAAACAGTAAGTTCATAGAGATAGCAACAGTAAGTTTAAAGGGTTAGTAACTAAGTTCATAGAGATAAAAACAGTAAGTTTATAGAGATAGCAACAGTAAGTTCATAGAGATAAAAACAGTAAGTTCAAAGGGCTAACGACTAAGTTCATAGAGATAGCAACAGTAAGTTCATAGAGATAGCAACAGTAAGTTCATAGAGATAGCAACAGTAAGTTCATAGAGATAGCAACAGTAAGTTCATAGAGATAAAAACAGTAAGTTCATAGAGATAGCAACAGTAAGTTTAAAGGGTTAGTAACTAAGTTCATAGAGATAGCAACAGTAAGTTCATAGAGATAAAAACAGTAAGTTCATAGAGATAGCAACAGTAAGTTTAAAGGGTTAGTAACTAAGTTCATAGAGATAAAAACAGTAAGTTTATAGAGATAGCAACAGTAAGTTCATAGAGATAAAAACAGTAAGTTTATAGAGATAGCAACAGTAAGTTTATAGAGATAGCAACAGTAAGTTTATAGAGATAGCAACAGTGTTCATAGAGATAAAAACAGTAAGTTTATAGAGATAGCAACAGTAAGTTTATAGAGATAGCAACAGTAAGTTTATAGAGATAGCAACAGTGTTCATAGAGATAAAAACAGTAAGTTTATAGAGATAGCAACAGTAAGTTTATAGAGATAGCAACAGTAAGTTTATAGAGATAGCAACAGTGTTCATAGAGATAAAAACAGTAAGTTTATAGAGATAGCAACAGTAAGTTTATAGAGATAGCAACAGTAAGTTTATAGAGATAGCAACAGTAAGTTTATAGAGATAGCAACAGTAAGTTTATAGAGATAGCAACAGTAAGTTCATAGAGATAGCAACAGTAAGTTTATAGAGATAGCAACAGTAAGTTCAAAGGGCTAGCGACTAAGTTCATAGAGATAGCAACAGTAAGTTCATAGAGATAGCAACAGTAAGTTCATAGAGATAGCAACAGTAAGTTCAAAGGGCTAGTAACTAAGTTCATAGAGATAAAAACAGTAAGTTTTTAGGGCTAGCAACAGTAAGTTCATAGAGATAGCAACAGTAAGTTCATAGAGATAGCAACAGTAAGTTCATAGAGATAGCAACAGTAAGTTCATAGAGATAGCAACAGTAAGTTCATAGAGATAAAAACAGTAAGTTTATAGAGATAGCAACAGTAAGTTCATAGAGATAGCAACAGTAAGTTCATAGTGATAGCAACAGTAAGTTCAAAGGGCTAACGACTAAGTTCATAGAGATAGCAACAGTAAGTTCATAGTGATAGCAACAGTAAGTTCATAGTGATAGCAACAGTAAGTTCATAGAGATAGCAACAGTAAGTTCATAGAGATAGCAACAGTAAGTTCAAAGGGCTAACGACTAAGTTCATAGAGATAGCAACAGTAAGTTCATAGAGATAGCAACAGTAAGTTCATAGAGATAGCAACAGTAAGTTCATAGAGATAGCAACAGTAAGTTCATAGAGATAAAAACAGTAAGTTCATAGAGATAGCAACAGTAAGTTTAAAGGGTTGGTAACTAAGTTCATAGAGATAGCAACAGTAAGTTCATAGAGATAAAAACAGTAAGTTCATAGAGATAGCAACAGTAAGTTTAAAGGGTTAGTAACTAAGTTCATAGAGATAAAAACAGTAAGTTTATAGAGATAGCAACAGTAAGTTCATAGAGATAAAAACAGTAAGTTCAAAGGGCTAACGACTAAGTTCATAGAGATAGCAACAGTAAGTTCATAGAGATAGCAACAGTAAGTTCATAGAGATAGCAACAGTAAGTTCATAGAGATAGCAACAGTAAGTTCATAGAGATAAAAACAGTAAGTTCATAGAGATAGCAACAGTAAGTTTAAAGGGTTAGTAACTAAGTTCATAGAGATAGCAACAGTAAGTTCATAGAGATAAAAACAGTAAGTTCATAGAGATAGCAACAGTAAGTTTAAAGGGTTAGTAACTAAGTTCATAGAGATAAAAACAGTAAGTTTATAGAGATAGCAACAGTAAGTTCATAGAGATAAAAACAGTAAGTTTATAGAGATAGCAACAGTAAGTTTATAGAGATAGCAACAGTAAGTTTATAGAGATAGCAACAGTGTTCATAGAGATAAAAACAGTAAGTTTATAGAGATAGCAACAGTAAGTTTATAGAGATAGCAACAGTAAGTTTATAGAGATAGCAACAGTGTTCATAGAGATAAAAACAGTAAGTTTATAGAGATAGCAACAGTAAGTTTATAGAGATAGCAACAGTAAGTTTATAGAGATAGCAACAGTGTTCATAGAGATAAAAACAGTAAGTTTATAGAGATAGCAACAGTAAGTTTATAGAGATAGCAACAGTAAGTTTATAGAGATAGCAACAGTAAGTTTATAGAGATAGCAACAGTAAGTTTATAGAGATAGCAACAGTAAGTTCATAGAGATAGCAACAGTAAGTTTATAGAGATAGCAACAGTAAGTTCAAAGGGCTAGCGACTAAGTTCATAGAGATAGCAACAGTAAGTTCATAGAGATAGCAACAGTAAGTTCATAGAGATAGCAACAGTAAGTTCAAAGGGCTAGTAACTAAGTTCATAGAGATAAAAACAGTAAGTTTTTAGGGCTAGCAACAGTAAGTTCATAGAGATAGCAACAGTAAGTTCATAGAGATAGCAACAGTAAGTTCATAGAGATAGCAACAGTAAGTTCATAGAGATAGCAACAGTAAGTTCATAGAGATAAAAACAGTAAGTTTATAGAGATAGCAACAGTAAGTTCATAGGGCTAGCAACTAAGTTCATAGAGATAGCAACAGTAAGTTCATAGAGATAGCAACAGTAAGTTCATAGAGATAGCAACAGTAAGTTTATAGAGATAGCAACAGTAAGTTCATAGAGATAGCAACAGTAAGTTCATAGGGCTAGCGACAGTGTTCATAGAGATAGCAACAGTAAGTTCATAGAGATAGCAACAGTAAGTTCATAGAGATAAAAACAGTAAGTTTATAGAGATAGCAACAGTAAGTTCATAGAGATAGCAACAGTAAGTTCATAGAGATAGCAACAGTAAGTTCATAGAGATAGCAACAGTAAGTTCATAGAGATAGCAACAGTAAGTTCATAGAGATAGCAACAGTAAGTTTTTAGGGCTAGCAACTAAGTTCATAGAGATAAAAACAGTAAGTTTATAGAGATAAAAACAGTAAGTTCAAAGAGATAAAAACAGTAAGTTCAAAGAGATAAAAACAGTAAGTTTATAGAGATAAAAACAGTAAGTTCATAGAGATAAAAACAGTAAGTTCAAAGAGATAAAAACAGTAAGTTTATACAGATAAAAACAGTAAGTTCAAAGAGATAAAAACAGTAAGTTCATAGTGCTAGCAGATTTAGTTTGTATTGGTAGTAAAACACAACACTCATCTATAACTAAAAATAGAATGTAAACAATCTGTTTGATGTTCTCTCCTAATATAGATCTAGATCACCATGGAAGTGCCCAGTGGTCCAGACTTAAGAGCACCATCATCCTGTTGTTGTGTGCTGTTGCCATAGCGTTATGTGCAGACCTGATCTCTGAGAACATTCAGCCCTTGCTGGAGTCCACTGGCATATCAGAGGTGGGGGCTGTTGCTTAAAATAAACTATATCATGTGTTAAAATATCTGAACTGTACAGGTAGATCTAGCACTCACATCAATTCAGTTTAAAAGTTGGTAAAGTTGTTCAAATTTTAACTAGTACAGACTTTGCCACATTGCCCTTTTTAACAAGATTTTTTCTCACAAAAGAAAAATTTAAAAATTCTTCTAAATGATTAGAGGAACAAATAAATATTTAATTATTGAAAACTAAACAATGTTTTAATGAACTGTGCTCTTCAGTATTTTATCGGCGTTACAATGTTGTCACTGGTGGCAGAGCTGCCTGAAGTAGTCAATGGGGTACAGTTTGCTTTACAGAACAACGTCAACCTTGGGTACGGTCTAGCGTCAATATTTTTAGTTTTGCTTTATAGTATAAATTTTTTTTAGAACTGTCATGTTGTAGAGATTTTTAAAAAGCAATTAACTGGCAAGAAAAAGTATGTTCTTACAAAATCATAAGTATATAAGTTGTGTTTTTTTTTTAAATTCTAGAATTGAGATTGGTTGTTCAACCGCCATACAAGTTTGTTTAGTGCAGATTCCAGTCCTTGTTTTGATCAACCTCATCTACGTAAGTTTCCCATCTCTTCATGTACCCATATATTTTCTTGTCTCCTCTCTATGAATAAGTTTATTTACATTTTTTGTTTACAAAAATCCAAGACATCCAATCAGCTATTATTGTTCCATATTTTCAGCCCATGGGATTCTATGTGGTGTTTAATGACATCCATTTGTGGGCTGTCATCTTCTCTGTTGTCATCATCAACTACATTTTTCAGGATGGAAAGAGTGACTACTTCCAAGGTAGGTAACTCAGTTTTAAGTATTCAGGGGAATTAACCCATGTTATTTCTTTTACTTTCCTGCTTGTTTGAACACTTCATTTTTGTGTAACCAGTACAAACTAATACACATTCATATTTAGTATTTACTAAGCTACATATTATGTTTTATTAACCTTTTTGATACTCAGTTTAAAATATCTATATTTAATAAATTGCAATTAAAATATTGGTATTACTCTAAACACCCATCTTTATTTAGTGCTAAATGTCTTTATATTGTCTGGTAATCAGATTATTTTGCTCAATTGTGTATTCAAATGCAATATTTTACACTTTGAACTAGTCAACTTAAGTTGTTTCCCTACATAGAAAATGCTTCACTGTCCCATTGACCCTCTCTGAAAAATTTCCTTTCCACTCCCCACCCAGACTTCTGACACTTTCATTTGACCTTCACCCCTTTTACTGTCATCCTTTGCAATTTTTTTTTTATAATCAAATACATGACATCATGTAAATATTCATTATGTACATTTGCAAAACCTTTCGTTTTCATTTGGTGTTCAAAATTATGTTAAAAAATTTGATGTTGATGTACTTGTTTTAATTGCAAATAAAAGTATTAAAAAAAAAAAAAAAAAAAAAAAAAAAAAAAAAAAAAAAAAAGAATCCCCAGGTTCTATTGTAGTGTTTATCTACATCCCCATGTTCTATTGTAGTGTTTATCTACATCCCCAGGTTCCATTGTAGTGTTTATCTACATCCTTATGTTCTATTGTAGTGTTTATCTACATCTCCAGGTTCTATTGTAGTGTTTATCTACATCCCCAGGTTCTATTGTAGTGTTTATCTACATCCCCAGGTTCTATTGTAGTGTTTATTTATATCCCCAGGTTCTATTGTAGTGTTTATCTACATCCCCATGTTCTATTGTAGTGTTTATCTACATCCCCAGGTTCCATTGTAGTGTTTATCTACATCCTTATGTTCTATTGTAGTGTTTATCTACATCTCCAGGTTCTATTGTAGTGTTTATCTACATCCCCAGGTTCTATTGTAGTGTTTATCTACATCCCCAGGTTCTATTGTAGTGTTTATTTATATCCCCAGGTTCTATTGTAGTGTTTATCTACATCCCCAGGTTCTATTGTAGTGTTTATCTGCATCCCCAGGTTCTATTGTAGTGTTTATCTATATCCCCAGGTTCTATTGTAGTGTTTATCTACATCCTTATGTTCTATTGTAGTGTTTATCTACATTTCCAGGTTCTATTGTAGTGTTTATCTACATCCCCAGGTTCTATTGTAGTGTTTATCTACATCCTCCTCATGTGCATGTACTTCTTCATGTTGACGCCAGAACACGCCCTATGCATATCTGAGATAACTGGTTCCAGCAACTCTACTGCACCAACAATCAGCCCTAAGCTACCTTAATACCTGTAGTTACCTGTTTATCTTGCTGCCTGTTGCCATATGACTTTAGATTTATTCCATCAACAGCCGGTGCCTGTATTGGTTATATATTTATGACTTTGAATTATGACTGAATTTTGTATGATGTTATCACTTCAATATTATTTACAAAAGTCTATTTTTTTAATATTTTTTTTTTTGTTTGGCTCTGTGGAAAATGTGGATTGTTTTTATTCATTTTTTTATTGAAAATTCAGAAAAATTTATTTGGAAAACATTTTAATTTTTTATAATTTTAATAATTTAATATTTAATTTTTTTTTTTACCATAGTTCAAAATTTAAATATAAATTAAAATGTTCAAATTTTTAACACAATGTGTTTAAGTGCAATGCACTATCACATTCCAGCACATAATACTGGCACATAGTGATTGTTGTTGTCTTAATTATGGTATTAAAGCTATTAAACTTTTTTTAAAGCAGTTTTTAAGATTTTTAAAATATGTAACTAGTAATTAACACTTTTTTATGTTTATATTTTAAATTTGTGATATTAACTAATAAAGTTAATGTTACATTTTTTGTTGATTGTAAGTTTAACTGTTTTCTGTTTAATTTCTTAGCAGAAAAAGAAATTATTCCAACAAATTTTATTTTTAAATCATTTAAAAATTAATTAAGACCATTGGATGATACTTTATTGGCCAGTATTCCGTGAAACAGTATTCAACATTTTTCCTTTATACAGTTTAAGCATTGGTGAAAACATTTTTACATTGTTTTTACCCTTCTACCTTGGACTAAACAAAATTTTGGTGTATTTTTAGTTTCTGTGAAACACATCAACACCTGAAAGATATTAGAAAATTGATCTGAAGTTTGTACATAACGAATCAACTTTGCACATGATCACTGATAGATGACCGGCGCATTATCATGCCAGTCTTAAAACTCTTGTAACCTCTTTACCTTACAAGGAACTATACCAAAAGTCCTTTGGGGCAGTTGAAGCAGAGTTCATCAAAATAGATATTATGTTTTTTATATGACTTTATATGCAAATGTTTTGTACTTGAAATGTAATATTTTATTAATTTTTTTTTTTTAATTTGTTAAAAATATTAATTTTGTATAATCTTTATTTTTGTACCCAAGTATAACAGATCTTGCTAAATTTGTATCAAACTTTTTAAAATATATATCTGCATAAATGTTTCTCTTCATATGCCGAGGTCACAGAAACAAGCGAACTCTACTTCACTTGCCCCATAAACCATCAGGTTTGAAAGGGAAACTTTACTTTTTAAAATGTTTTGAACAATACACTTTTCTAGCGTGTATATGAAACACATTTTGGTAATGGAGAAGTAAATTACACTTTCAGAGATCATACTCTAATGGACAAGTGAAGTAGAGTTGATCTATTTTTTGACGTCATCATTGGATGGGGTTGTCTGGTCAGCATTATACTAATCCATTAACTTTCCTTGACATAATTCAACTGGGTTAATTCAACAATATTCCTATTGACTTGAGCCTGGGAATCAAACTCTGGACATTCATGTTAACAGCATAGGCTCTTCCTTACAACCACTCTGCCTCACGTTCAAGAACTAATGTTGCTATAGCAACCACCACATCTAGCTCAAACAACATTTACATAGCCAATGGTTGTTAATCCACTCCCACCACCAACTGATCAATCTACTGACCTGATATTAAAGATGTTTCCTCAGTTAGCCCTGCATACAACATCCTTTATATCAACATATATCAACATATATCAACATATATATTCACTATTATGGGGTTTAGGGAAAACAATTTGTTTTTTATATGAATATGTTTTCCATGAGAACAGCTCAGCAAGAGAGATAACTCTCAGCATAAAAACAACAAATTCTTGTGATGTATATTGTTATACAACTGTTAAATAAAGCATTATCATTCTTCTCGTGTTTGTAATGTCATGCTAGCAGGGTTTGTGTGTACAGTGTGGGGATGTTTATGTGATGGTTGGTGTAGGGTTTGGCTTGGTGGGTTTCAAGATCTGGGGTGGGGGGGGGGGGGTCACATGACTACCTACATAGTGCTCAAGTCAGGTTTAGTTGTTGAAGTATGAATCAATGTGCTTGTTATAGCATATGGCAACTAATGTAAAGGTAAATGTGAATTTCTAATTGAAGTGTTCGATATTAAATAATGGTCTCTAGAACTGTTTGCTTTGATCTAGTAGGAGCGAGTATACGATCGGTGAGTACCACATGATGTTGATCCAACGATACATTGAATGTTTTAATTTCATTGTTGTCTCCCTTGAACTGTGGGGATTTGAAAAGAGAGAAAGTAAAATAAAAACAAAGAAATTAGTGAAGGGGGTACAACTTGTACCACATGTTGAGTAGGATGACGACACAGTGACTACACTTCGCCAAAAATATAACTTTTAAAAAAAAAATGTCAAGTTCGAGCAAACATCCATTCCAGCATTTGTCGCATTCGGGCTAAAATTGTCGCATTCGGTCAAACGTCCGGCTATCCCCTCACGACCGATCTTCCCTTCCAGAAAGCTGGCGGAATGCCATGGTCAGACTGACATTGTGATGTAAATAAACGTCTATAAAAAGTACTTCAAATCGTACTCAATAGCAGCTTGTGTCACATCCAGATGTAAGTTATTGTTTAAAATAGCTGTATTCTTATATCATATTAATCTTATCATCATCATCATCGTTCCTCACAGCTTCATGTAAGTTATTATTTAAAATAGTTCTATTGTTTTAGCATATTAATCTTATCATTGTTTGAAATAGCTCTATTGTTTTATCATATGAATTTTATCATTGAAATAGCTCTATAGTTATATGAATCTTATCATTGTTTGAAATAGATCTATAATTTTATCATATTCATCTTATCATCATCACCATTGTTCCTCACATCATTTAAGTTATTGTTTGAAATAGCTCTATAGTTTTATCATATTCATCTTATCATCACTGTTCCCGTGGAACATAGAGACACAACCACACCTCTCCATCGTACTCGTCTCTGCGATTCCTCCAAGTTGGGCCCACGACATTATGGCTATCTTAGCTTCAACGACAGCTGATCATCAATCGAATCACTCTGTATTAAACCTTGCCACCTACGTCACCCACCATTTGAAGTTACGCCATTGAATCTAGGCTACATTCGTAAACGATAAAAAATGTGCAGATTTTAAAAAGGGAAATAAAATACAATAACCCAATCTGTCTTGAATTTCTTTTTAATTTTTTTTTTTACATCCCATTTTTGGTCTGCTCATTTCCCATTGTAAAGCGCTGAAGTTTTTTTTACCGGGCTCAATTTGTCGCTTGCATGCTGGGAGATGGAGGAAGTAGAGTAGTTTTCTCCCTTTGTGGATTGAGTGATGGTGCGTGTGTGTGTGAGTGATGGTATAGGATGGTGTGTGTGTGGGGGGTGAGTGATGGTATAGAGGATGGGGAGGGGGTCTGAGAGATGATATGGGAAGAAGGGGGTGAGTGGTGGTATAGGATGGATGGGGGTGAGTGATGGTATAGGATGGGGTGAGTGATGGTATAGGAATGAGGTAGACGGTTGAGTGGTGTGAGGAGGGGCAATGTTTTGATGGTATCTGAAAGAGGCAGACAGAAAAGAAATTAGGACAAGCCCCGCCTCCATTCGACCTAATGACGTAGCGCTTTCTATTTACAAACTCCCACGGGATCCTGGGAGTATTGTCCCGGTCACGTGACCTGGCAGCCATCACCGGGTCCCTGTGTGACGGGTAAAGTGTCAGACATCTATCACAAATTGTAATCAAGGTCGCGGCGACCTGCTCTGGAAATCCTGGAGCTTGAGCGAACGTGTCGGCCGTGCATTGACCAGTACGGGTCCACGCATTAAGCACTCACGTCCGTTGACGGAGCGGTGTGGTTACGATAACGGACGGAGGTACAAATTACAATATACTTTTCTTATTGAAAACATGCATAAAAAAACTGAGGTGGTATTTTGGGGACTGAAATGGCATTTTACTTAATTTTAATTTTAAAAAATGCTTTGATATACGAGCAATTCAACGAACAACTAAACCTCCAATACGCTTCGAAAACTGTATACATCTATGTCTTTTACTAATATGTTTGAGTTTTAGACCATTACTCAAAATGGTGCCTCTTTGTGGTTTAGATATTTTCTTTTATTGCCAAGTCTGATGTCCAAAAACACTTGTCGTCCGTTTTCTGCGCAGCTTTGTTTGGTACAAATGAAATGCGAAACTAAAATTCACAGTTTGGGCTTTTAGTTTCGAACGTTCAAACATCACCCCGGGATAAGTGTCGTCTGAAACTGAGCAGACGGCACTTACCGGAAATCGATGTTGAAACTTAAACACTTCCTGAGGCTAAGGTACCCCCTACCCCCTCTTCCACGCACAAGCTATTTTCGTTGTAAACAAAAATTCTTGTTTTTAGAAAGTTTTCCTCAAAAACATGTTTTCCAACAATTGACGGAATTCTAAAATTTGAAACTTGTAAAGCAACGTGAGAGAAACAGAAATGTTTTAGTGTATACACACACTAACATTTAACCATTAGCTGATGTAGAACTAACCCGAATAGATTTAAACGAAGCTAATAATATGCTTCATGTACTGGCTGAATTTTTCCTACTGGTTTCCTCAAAGGTCGAGATACTATTTCTGGTAAAGTTGGTATAATGATGGGTGGTAGTGGTAGACTTTTGCCTCGGAGCTAGATGTTCGAAAAACAAATCCGAAAAAAAAACCAATAATAGCTAATAATAAATAACCTACTTTTAGATACATACTAAACTACCCGTTATCCTTGGATAATAGGGTTTCGGGAGGGTGGGGGGGGGGGGGGGGGGGTAATTCAGAAATGACGTCAAGTTTTTTTGAGAACATTGTTCTTGACAGAATTACGTATTTTTAAGTTATACAAAGTGCAGATAGTTTGGTCGAGCTATATAGACAAACAAATATATAAATATATAAACTTGTAAACCATAGTGACGTTTAGCAGAATAAAGACAAAACTTTTTACCCATTTTTTATGAACAGAGACAATGTAACAATAACTAATAACTACTACCAAGATAAACTAATAAATTTCGCACTTACACTTCAACAAAAAATTATTAAAACTTTGTTGGTCATAATTTATCGAGAAAATTAGTTTAGTTATGTACTAAACTCGTTCAGGTATATATAAAACATAAATTTCTACCCAGAGTTCACCTGTTTCTGTGCCCTCGGCGTATGAAGAGTGTGATCAGCATTATAACCAGCTGCCTTTACTTTCCCTAACATGAGTCAGGTATTCATCAAAGCTGAGTGGACTCAGGGACGTTCAATGATAAGAACATGCAAATACTGGCATTCGTTACTTCGCTTATAGACATTGTTGTCATTTTCTCCACAGATGGCGAACGTAAAAACTCAAAATCATCAATCAATTGATCAAGGTTACTAGGGAATATTTTAATAAACTTAATAAATCCGTAGGCAATCTATTTTTTAGGCATTCTGTTATAATGTTAATCAGTTTGGTTTTTTGCTTCCCGTTAATATAAAATTTGCCAAAGCCGAGAATTTTTTTTTGTAGGAATAGTTAATAAAGGTGTAGAATGCACGAGCATTGTTACACATCTTAACATACTTTTGAAACTCATTTTGTCACATATTGTCACATATCTTGTCACATCTTGTCACATATCTTGTAACATACGTATAGTGTTTGAAGCGCATAGTGTCACATATATATCTTGTAACACATCATGTGACACACCTTGTAACATATGTGTAATGCTTTGAAACACATAGTGTCACATATACGTCATGTCACATATTTTGTCACACATCTTGTCACATATTGTTACATTTATTGTCACTTTTGTAACTGATCTTGTAACACGCGATTAGCTAGACGTGGGCACTATGGGAGAATTCATAGGGCAGACCCCAGCCATAAGGCAGTGACAGCTTAAAGACGGATCATGGTTCGATCAGCCATAGATTAAAGCCAGCCAGCTATAGACCAGATTCAGCCAGACATAGCTCAGGAGACAGC